GCCATACACAGAGAGGACGGAGGTTCGTGTTCATGTTTTTGAAAGTGATGTGGGGGCAATAAATTGGGCATTAGTTTGTTGCTGTCTTTCTTGAGTGCCTTGTCCATTGCCAGAATGGAGGACAGGAGACCCATGTGTAAAATAAGATACCTGGATGTTGGAAGTAATCTCTATTTTTGCATCTAAAAAAATAAAAAGGTTCTGCTGCATCTTTTCAGGGAAGAACACCAATTGGTCAGCTATGTGTGGTGCTGGCTGCTAGTGTCGATGTTCCTCAAAGCATTTGTTTGACCTCGGAAGCAGCCTCAGCAAGGAGCTAAGCAGAAAGCAGTCATTTCGTGCCATCCAGAGCATTTCTGTGAGACAGCATGGAAAAGCCATGACCTGCATGTGCAGCTTTATGTCTGTTTGCAAAGTGTTTGACAGACTACTACAAGGAAATCAGAGGCTCAAATCAGCAGGGGAATTTTCTCATTTGTATTTGTCTTGGATATATAGTCCCATATCAGATATGGAACAGTCTGTGCTGTTTGGGCCCATTAGTTTTTTAGTCTTGTCAGTGCTCTGTTGTTGGCCTGTGTCAGCGTTTCCTCCAGATGATCCATTGCTTTGATGTTACTTCTCACTTTGTATAAAAGTCACAACCATGTCTTTGTTTCTGGATTGTGTTAGAGGTGGCTTGCCCTCACTGGCTATAACAAGGCAGAAATACAGCAACAAAGGAACCCTGGCAAGTTGCAGCGTAAGTCCCCGATAGCTGCAACTAGATAGCTGCTGTTGGAAGGGGAGAAACTGCAGAGTTTACCCTTTTTTCCTTGTGTCTGTGTGAAGAACATTTTTAATCTAATGGGAATTTTGTGCTAGCACATCTTGTGAAAATTCTCCTTGGAATATTTACGATTTTAATTTATTTTGAAGATATTTTTTTTTAAAACTGTGTATTACAAACACGTCCACATGAAAACTGAGTATTTGTTCATCCAGCAGACGTTGACATTGATGTGAAGGTATTTTAATTTTTCCCTCCTCCTCGATCCACGCATATTATAGTTGATAGTAACATGGTTGATTGTTTTTCCATATTAGATAGTTAAAAGCTCTCAATTTTAAAGCTTCATGGAAGTTACTGTGGATTTCACAGGATCTGTCCCAGATAGTGCAGAACATGGTTTTAGCTTGCAATGGGGCAGATCAGGGATGCTTGACAAGATGAATGTTGTGCTGGACAGCATCTGATGGTGTACTCTGAATCAGTGTGGCCATCACTGTGTACTCCATACAGAATAAAGTTACTAGATTTTTTTTTCCCCTGGGTTTTTCAGATTGCACATGACTTTGAAATATTTGTTTGAGATATTGAACCTGTAATTTCGACTTGCAGTATTTTTGGAGTTTGCATCTCATTTTTTCCACCATTTGGTTTGGATAAAATTCACACCCTTTAGGGAAAACAGTTTGGCTTTAATACTTCATAGCAGCAATGCAGACTGCATGAGTAGATTGTAAAATCTCCCTCAATTCATAGCTGGTGTTTTATAGCAATTTCAGTTCTTGACAGATACAGCTCATAAAACTAGAGTCAACGCTTGTTCTGTCACTTCTGAAATAGTCATGGAGACTAGAGAAGGGACTCTTGTCTAACATGCAACAAGCAAATCACACGTATTGCTTTTGATGTTTTTGCTTTTCAAATGTGACAAAACTTTGGATGAGTGTATTCAGCAGGGCTTTTGAGAAACTTTGTTGAATTAAAATGAATCTCTTTCACTGAGTTTCACTGCCAAAACCAGATTTAGTGGGGTATGTTTTTGTTTACAGCAGTACAGCTGATACTTGTCAACTATCTCACTGCAATATCTTAGCATAGAGAATTGGAAAACGTGCCCGAGGAGCAAATCCAAATCCTTCTTTCTCACTTAACCTCCCTGCGTCAGTGTAGCCTGTCACGTATAGTAAGATTTTGCTTGAAGCCACTGAAAACCTCTACTTTTGTGAAAAAAGCATAATGTGTAAGGGTAGAGAAACTTGGCAGGAACAGGTAGTTTGTTATGTGAAAAAAAGCTGTTGAATTGGTTTTTTTAAGTTGTTGTTAAATGGAAAAGCAAAAAGGTATCTTCTAGGTTCACAATGGCCTTAGACTGAATGCATTTAAACATCATTAGAAATTCTGGGATGTTGGTGTTTTCTCCTAACTGCTGAATTGCTTGTGTTTAGCATTTCTGAGCGACCGTTTGAGATTGCACTGAAGCCAAGTACAATTACACTAAAAGAAGTAACCATATCAAAAACAAGAAGCTGAGCTGAAAATGTGGCCTTCATATGATTTGGTCGTCTGAAATGAGGAAGATTGTGGGATTATTCAAAATGTGTACGCATTGTACCTGTATCTATTGTATCTGTTAATTGGGAGTTAAAGAAGTAAATGTCAAAGCCTTGTATTCTGTTTCAGGACTAGCATTGGCTTGAGTCGAATGGTCTGAGTCAAATCATGCAATTGTTAGTTTAGTTTTGTCAGTGCTTTCCAATTTTTTGTTAGTGTAGTCCTAGACTTACTGGAAATTGTGACTTCTAGCTGGGCTGTCCCTTCCAGCCAGAGTTATCCTGCAATTCTGTCAAATAAACTTTCCAGTGGGAGCCACATGCTGACCTAGGCAGTTTGTTTCTACCTATGGCCTAATTGGGTCTTAAAACTGCTTCCCCAGAGGTGAATGATGATGAAATCTGGTTTCTTTTACATCCATATGGAGTAGTAACCGTATGTGATGTGGTGTTGGCAAGCCACATAGCTAGCCACTTGAGGGTAGTTCCAAACATAGCGAGCACAAGGTCTCTTGAGCAGCTAAAATGTGTTCTTCATTAAAACTCTTCATGTGCGTTGTGTTTACGTTGCATTTGTGAAAGGGAGGTATCAGATGGTCTTTGTTAATTTTTACAAAAGCTGTCTGTTTTTCTTTCTTTGTCTCATCAAATGGTGCTCCAAGCTGCAATAACCAGTGGATTAGTGGCAAAGATTTGCTGGTTTATTGCGAGTCTGGATGACCGTCTGTGTGAATGTGAATTATAGTCATCGCTTTCAGTTCTTCAGTGGGATAAGCCATGGTGCCAAGTAATCCTAAACCTGCTTTCTAACTTTGTCTTACTCTACAAAAAAGAAAGTAGGGAAACAGTCATAATTTTTTTCCATTTATTGAGAATGGTCTCCACATAGGGAGATTGCGTGATGTGCAAATAATGGTGTCAGGAGCTATATGCTGTCTTGCTGCAAAGACTCTGATTTCACAGTCTTTTATCTAAATGACTGTTCTGGACCTTAAGAGATAGAAGAGGAATGTTAATTGCTTCTCAGGTCGTTGTCTTTATGTTAAAAAACATGCAAGCATGTGCAAGATTGCTTGAAACCTTCTTCCTAGTGCTGCTTGACTGCACTGGTTAACAATCTACAGTCAGGCGGCCAGCTCAGCCCAGTTTCAATTCTTTACTTTTTTTCATCATCTCTTCCTGTTATGTTGTTAACTCTTTTCTCCTAATCTCTCCTTCTCTGCGTTCCTCATACTCTGATTGTACTAGCATTCCCTCGCTATCAAATCACTGTTTTCTCTTACCCTTTGAATAAGTCATTTTTGCTTCACAAAATAATATTGACATACAAGCTACTAGGGCTAACTCCATTGCTGAAGGTGCTGTGAATTGTAAACTGAAATGTGCTCTAAGTTCAGGAGCTCTTGAGAATGAGGGAGGACTGTAGTGAAACACCAGTTTGCTGACTTAAAAATTGCAGGTGTTTTGGATTCTTGTAATTCCTCACAGTTTAAACCAGGTGACACAATAGTGCTGGAGGTTTTTTTCTACCTCTTCCCGTTACCTGGTGTGTACAGGTATAGAGGCTCACAGTTTGAATCATTAGCTCTGTGATGCTTCCTGGGATTAGTACACTGCCACCTGAAACCATTGCTTGAATAGAAGTTGTGTGATATTATACTTGTTTTGGTTTGGTATTCAGTTCAGTATTTGGAATGTACATTGTTTTCCACATTAAGTATGGAAAACAAACCGCGCACTTATCCAGCGACATACCTAGGTTTTTGAAATTTCTGTAACTGTGTGTGTATCTGAGTGAGAAAGTAAGTGGGAACTCATGCATATGAACCAATTATTCAGGTTAATGTTGATCAGGTGCTCATATGCAGTGCAATTACTTGATCATGCTTAAGGACATGTTACCCTTACTGTACATCTAGTAGGAGTTTTTGCTGCAGTGTCCAGAAATCTGTATGTACGTTCAGTAGTTTCCCAGATAATCTTTAAAAATAAAATTAAGCAAAGGTGTTCCTTTTCTCATTTGATTGCCTATTGAGGTGCCTATAATTCTGTCTGGGAATTTTTGAGGCTGTGTAGCAAATAAAAAAGAAAATAATATGTACCTTAAAAGCAAAAAAAATAATGTGAGCTTTAGATGATTGATTTTCCTCCTAGTTCTCCCTCCTTGCATTTTGAGAGATACTGGGGAAGGAACATGTGGAACAGCCAAAACTCTTTTCGTCCCTTTTTTTCCCCCAACCCACCCTTCACTCCAGGTGTGAGGAAAAAAATGTTTCAAAAAACCCCCAAACAATCTGTCTATTAGTTTGTGAACTACTTATTTGATAAGAATGTTTATACACTTGTGTGTTAATAAATAGGGTCTCTGTTTAAAAATTGAGCAAGGTCTAAGGCAAAGACATTACTGCTCCTTACTTATAACAGGATATGGTTAAAAGGGTGTCTTAAATTCAGTCTTTCATTGTACATGTTACATTTTTGTTGTTTCAGTATGTATCAGTTTTACTTCAGGCTCATGGTCTCAAAGCCACGTTCAAGACTTGCGACCTTTAGAGGATGGGTTCTATCAGCTGTGATGGATGCTGAGAAATGTGTATTGCTTTCTTACAAGTCTCGGAGCAGGTCTTTTATTCTACGATTTTTATTTACTTCTTTCCTCTTAGGTTGTCTATCATTGTGAGCAATGGCCCCCTTCTTACGGATATCTTTCAACTCATTTGAGCTGGGACCTGTGCAGAATCAAGGGGAACAACTACAGCCTTTCTGTGCTATCAAGATGAAGGAAGCATTGACTACAGGTGAGGTTACAAATGGTGATGCTTTTCTGAATAAGTTTTTGAGAAATACTGTAATCCCTCTTAGTCTATGAATGGTAATGAGTTCTGCTGTTGCTGTCATGCCAAGCACTTCAACATGAGCTTTTCTTTCAGAGTGGGAGGAGTTACAATGACTTTTGTTTCTGTCCCCACCTTAAAACGAGACCTTTCTTAGTGCTTTCTTGTCCTGTGGCCAGAGTGTTCAGCACTTGGTAGGGTGAAGTTGAAGATCTCTGGTTTCTTCCTTCACCACCAACACACAACTACTTACAAAATATGTGGTGAAACAGCTGAAATTTCACTTTTGCATAGGTTAAGGTGAGTTGTAAATTTTGCATGACAAAGGTTTGCAAATGTTAAATAAAGCATTGTTCTCTCCAGTTCCGCAAGTGACACACTGCACTTGCAGAAGCTCTGCAGGGGAGAGAGTGGTGTAGTGGAGTGCCGTGAAGAGGGATCTGAACAGCAGTAGGTTTGAGAGAGCCATTCTCAAGCATAGTGCAGTAAATGGTCTTTACTGACTTGGAGAATAAGTGTCAATGAGAACTGTAGGTGGTGGTTGTTGTAGTAACTGAAGAATTTTGGCAGAATTATTTGTTTGGAATGACTTGCACCCAAGGTCTGGTTAGCACCTCCCTTTTCAGCAGGCCCTCAGCCTTCAAAGACTGATTCTTTATAGAAACTGGTCCAAAGGTTTATAGTATTTTGTGATATTTAGCTAGAATCACTGCAGCCAAACAGGATGAGAGGGAGTTGCTGTACTGGGTTAGACTGCAGACGTCTAATCCTGCATTACGGCTCTAGGGCTTCACAAAACATCAAAGAATGCGGGAGAAGGGTGAATTTTCTTCTTCACAATATGATTGGGCTTCCCCTTATTGCTGAGGGGAAAAACTACGTTTAGATTTCAAACACAAGGTGCAGTGCCCCTTCCAGAAAACGTCATCAAGCAAACGTGTTAAGCTCCAAAGAAGCAGTTTCCTAGTCTGTTGGGAGAACCTCTGAAGAAATGGTCTTGAAAGTGTTGCAGCTGCCCGAATGTGTGGAGAGGTGGAAGTGGTCTAAATAAATCCACTTCTTCTTTCTCAGCTGTTTCCTTTTGAAAAGTAGAATTGTCACAACGTTTCTCCTCTTTGTGTGTGTCTTTTGAAGCACTGAAAAATGGGAGAGGAGGATGCAGTGAACCTTGGAGCAGGGACTGCTTGGGATAATCAGGAAAAGAAACTGATGTTCCCAATATCAGTTTGACAAGATCTGGAATAACTTTTGTTGGATTTGCACGCTGAAACAGGATCAAGGAAAAGCTTATATAGGAAGAAGAAAATCATTTGCATAATGATTAAGTATTAAGCCAGTGTGCAAACACGTACTGTTTTGAAGCCAGTAGTGTTAGCAGAGAAACAAAGGAGGCCTGAATACAGGAGGGGTAAGAACACTGTTCTTCTTAAAGGCTGTTCTTTCCTGACACTTAAGTGTTCAGTTACAGGCAGGCAATGTGATCCATGACAAATCTTGATTAGTATGATTTTAATTACAAAAGCAGCATGGCCAGGCTGGAAGTTGTTGCCAGTAATTCAGATGACTTCTTTCTGGTTTACATAGGGTAAAAATGTATATGGTAAGTGATCAAAGCAGATATTAATTGGCACATAGGAATAGGGAGAGTCCTGTGAATAGGCTGAAGTAGTTCTCTGCCCCTCTGAGAATACTACAGAGTACTACCAACTATTCTGTATGCTGCTGCTTCTGCAAACCCTGAATTTATAGTCAAAGGTTCTGCATTTCTTATATTCCCAAGAATGCCTCCTGAAGTGTGCCTTTTTTGATGAAGGGGTTTGGCTTTAGCAATCAAAAAAATACATGAGTGTAAAAGCCTTGCTGTGCAGACAGCCTGCTTTTGATTCCCCCTCACCTTTATTGTCCGTCCTAATAATTTCTAAGTTGTGTTTTGCTTGAGCTTTCCCTATATATTTTCGCCATAATATTTCAAATTTTTCCGTAGTTAAGAATAGCAAGTACAGGGCTCTGGAAGTAGGTTTGCACTGCTAAGAACCTGAGTTTTTCTTTCTGCAGAGTTCCCCAAATTCAAGATAAAAGCTTTTGACTGAGTAGAGGAGAAGTGCTCAAGTTGGCGTTGAAATGGCGGAGGTCCTTAAGGTGGCTGTTTCTGAGCATTTCAGAATGCCCTTTGGCAAGAAGGCTTAGGTCTGCTTGTCAGAGTTGTAATTTGTAATGCTGTTGGTGGCAGGCATTCCCTAATAAAGAAGTACAAGGACACTATTTGCTACTCTTGTTTGGATAGCTCAGCACAATTAAGTGGAGTGCATCGAGCAAGTTATTAATGAATGAACACAAACTCTGCCTTGAGTTCCCGGGAAGATTTTTAAATAATAAGTATCTAATTCTTCCTTCGTTGAAGTGAATGTAAATTCCATTGCTAATTTTAAGCGACAGACCACACTGCAGATTCTTAGGGAAGGGTCCAACTATTTAATCTGCTTTGCTATTGCTTTGCCATTGCTTTGCCATCGTGAAAACAGATTACATACTTAGAGGAAAAATGGATCATTCAGAGCTGGAGAGGCACTTAGAAAGCACTTGTATTGCAGCAAATGATCTCGATAAATAGCAGAAATTGTGCAGAATGTACAAAATTATATTCAGGTACCTGAGCACAAATGGGGAACAATTGGCTCAGCAGCAAATCACAGAGAAAAAACTGAGGAGGTGGCATCATCGTGTGTCAGAGTGACAGTGAAGAGCTGGATGTGGTTGTTTAGGAGGCAGTATCACTCTGGATGTGTTGGTGAAACTATTAAGAGACCCAGATCTAGAAATATGCCGAAGCTTGTTATAGATTGTGCAATCACCAGCTATTTTCTGTGCCAGAGGTAAGGATGGGAAGAAATTAGGTTAACTGGTAGCAAGAGAGACTGAAGCTGCGTATTAGGGAAAAAATCCATCTAATAAGAATGGTGAAGCACTGTAAAACTGCTAAGGAAGGAGTCTGTGGAGACTCTGTTATGGGAGGCCGGGTAAATGTTACCAAAAAAAAATTAAGATATTTTTTTGAGGTCCCTTCAGCCTTTTCCTTATTTCTTAACTACACAAGGTCTGTATGTGCTAGAGAGAACAGATAAGGCCTTGTAATATCCTTTAAAAAGTAGCAGTGGTGGCAGAGAGAGAGAGAGTACAACGCTAAGGAGAGTGACTTATGAATAGAAGTGAAATGTTGGGATAACTTGCAAGTAGATTAATGAAATGTGGAGCTTTTCATTTCTCAGCCACCGGTTTCAATTTAAACTAGGTCAGTGTAAGATACATCTTACTTTATCTTACAGTAGCAGGTATTCACTATGATCAGGCGACATGTCATGGAGATTGATACCAGAATGCAGCTATGCAAATATTCCCTGTCAAGCTGACTGACTAAACCAGCTTCTGAATTCCAGAATGGGTTTTGTCCCTCCTGGTCTCTCTGGCTGCGTGTTAACACCTTCACTGCTTTTGCATGCCCTGTTAGTTGGGGTGAGCTTTGCCTTCCAAGTCATGAATGTTTGAACTGAATATTTGAACTTTGTCCTAAGCACAGTCCAAGAAGTAGTAAGTCTGCTTTTGGTTTCAGTACAAGGATTCTCTCTTTTGTTTTATTTTGTTTAGTTTAAGTACTAGATCTACATTATTTGATTTTACAGTTTCTGTCCCTTTTTTGTGGCTTTCAGAGAGAGGAAAAACTCTAGTTCAGAAGAAACCGACCATGTATCCAGAATGGAAATCTACTTTTGATGCCCACATTTATGAAGGACGGGTGATTCAAATTGTTCTCATGAAAGCAGCAGAAGAGCCATTATCTGAAGTGACTGTAGGTGTGTCAGTCCTGGCAGAGCGGTGCAAGAAAGGCAACGGCAAAGCAGAATTCTGGGTGAGGAAGATTAATTCCTTAAACTTGCTGACCTGGTTATGTTTCTTTCAAGCTGAATGGATGCCTTATGGCTTTTGAACTATGAGTGTTTGATCCCTTTAGCATGTGTGACAGGACTTGTAAGACAATTATTTTAGCAGCATTTTTGAAGCAAATAATGTACAATCAAAGTTCAAGAAACTGACAATAAAATCCATAGCATTAGCGTTTGAAATAATGGCACATATCACATTGAGTGCCTATTTTATAAAGCCTCACAGATTTTAGCAAATAGCAGACATTTAAATTGGATTTGGTCATTGTAATTAATCTAGAGAAAAAGAAAGGTGAAGCTTATTCCAAGGCCTTTCCACTTAGAATTTCTAATTTTTTTTATTTATTTTTACAACAAATTTTAGTTCTCTTGATGCTGCTATAATGGGGATCCTGTAATCCCCATTTTTGTTATCCTGGTATCTTTTCTTACACCTGTGTCCCAAACAGTTGTTTGTAGGTGAAGTCAAGGGATATGGCATCTTGCTGAGTGTCATTTGCTCCTGTATCGCACTGAGTACAATTCTGAATATTGATCTCAGAAATGTAACAGGGGAGGTAAATATAGGGTCTAATGTAGTTTTAAACTTAGAAATATACATTTAGCCTAAAGACTAGTAGTTATGTAGTCAAACTACATAAACCCAAACAACAAATTTTAAATAATTTTAATGTGAATGGATTTCAATAAGCACTGTGAATAAACAAAAAATTAAAAATAAAAAATAGTATGTATTTTATACGTCTAGAAAGAGGGGCAAGTGGCAGAGGCAGGGAGGATCAAACCCCTGAGCCCAGTTTTCTGAAATGCCAGAAGTGTTGTTTCATTCACTTAGTTGATGTGTTGCAAAGAATTTTCAATGACTTGAGGGTTTAATGATGTCATCTTTATAAAATCCTATTCTCTAGCTTCTTTTTCAACTTTCAGATGCAACTGAAGTTGCTGAGATCGTGGTCCAACAAAAAAGGTTGTGAGAATGTGATGAGGCATTATTGTCCCAGAGAACTCTGTAAAATCTTGAAGCAACTCTGATTAGCATCCTGACTATTCAACATTTCTCCAAATGCAGAAATAAGATTCAGAGAGGAATATCAGGATATCCTATCATTTGGGTGAGAGCTGTCTAGCTAGGTGGATAGGTGCTATAAATAGCCTTTCCCATTATCCAGTTGCACGTAAGGCTGTACTCCAGACAGCTTGTCCAGGAACTACACGTGTTTTGCTAATTTGCCCATCTCTGTATGTGGAGTACAGTTAGTGCTAAGGAAATAGTTGCTAAACGTGAGCAGGTCTCCTTAGAATCTCACCCGTAGTCTTGTATCTAAAGGTGCCTGGACTGGAGCGTTGCTGAACTTGCCCAGAACATGAACCCTACAGGAGACCTTTTCTGTTGGGTGGGCTAAAGCAGCATGAGAGGGTCGTACAGATAGTTCCTAGTTACCTCCAACTTGATGAGCGTCTCGTTTCTCACACAATTGGTAATGCTGGTCCTTCCTTGGTACGGGATGGATACAGGAACTCTTTTCTGGATATATGAATGCTTTTCCTGAATGCTGGATATGAAGAGGAATGAATATCCAGTTGTTGCTTAGCTTAGTATGGGAATACTTTTTTTTTTTAAAAAAAAAAAAAAAACAAAACTCCAATTCTCTCTCAAGTCCATTTTTGCAGTAAATGGCAGGATTTTGCTCTGAGTATGCGCAAATCTATCTCACCAAGCAGATCTCAGCAAAAACCCTTCTTGATGTGCTTGATATTGAAGGGGCTTACACATTTTGCTAGGTCAGTAGGATGTCACTGGTTTATGTTCACCTGTTACATTCTGAAATCATACACTTCTTTTTCCACACCTTAACTTGAATTCTGAGATGAGCAATTACTCAGAAGAGTAGTTAAAACTAATAGTGATCGATTTTTAGTTTTAGTGATCAGTTTTAGTTGATTCAATGGTCTGAAATCCTCTGCTTATTATCCATAGAACAGGTACCACATAGATGCCATCAGCATTTAACTTACTCTGTATTACCTCAGTTGTGACATGGACCGACCATCATGCCCAGCAAAGACACGTTCGTTCACTTACCGTAGTCTATAAGGTTATTTTTTTGTCTGGAGAGGCAGCCCATCAGAAGTAGCTGTAACTGATGTCTTTGCCTTCTGTAAGCTTTGTTGGGCAAATGTTTTGAGTGTCAGATGTTGCCTTAAAGATGAAAACTTAGTCATTATCCCAGTAGGATAATGGGATTTGTGGGGATATGTTCACGGGTGTATCTAATGTAATTGTATTTTTCTTCCCCCTCCCGTTCCAAGTTGTATTCACTGTTAATCCAGGGATACTTTGCTCTGTGCTGAAGTGAAGACTGAATCAGACTCTTTCATGCTTAATAGCTTCTTACGTTTTATGAAGGCAGCAGTTTAAGAATTAGCAGCTATTTTCTGAGCACAGGAAGTGACCTCAGCTATTGGCTTAAAAGGCATTTGTTTTTGCTGGTCTGTAGAATTTGCAACAGAAACCATGTGTGATGGTTTGGGGGAAAGTAAAATAAATGTTGATGATACCACTGTTTTTCTGATTACAGACAACAGTATTTGATACCTCTGTGGTTTGTACTCTCAATAAACATATAAAGGATTGTATAGACTCTTTCTTTTAAAACTGAGTTCCTGTGCAAATTGAGTTTACTGGTAGTAAAAACAGAAGTCAAACATCTTTGCAGAAATGGGAAAGGGACATGCAAAAACAACGTGAACTTTTGGGTAGACATCAGAGCAATGCAGCACACTGGTAAAAGCAGTAGAATAAAAGCCCCTGGTTCAGCCGCAGCAGTGAGCTATGGAAGAGGGTTGTAATCCAATAGTTAGTGACTATTATACCTTGATTCCCTAAAAAGAGCTGTTTAAATTCCTGAGAGTTTCAGTCAACCACATACTTCACTGTTGGTATCTTTCTTTCCATAGCTTGACCTGCAACCTCAGGGGAAGGTGCTGATGGCTGTGCAGTATTTTTTGGAAGACACAGGTAATGTCAACTGTTTATTTTCAGTCAGTTATGTAAAAATAAAACTTTTTTTCACATTCCTTTTGTGGAACACGGGATGTAGCTTACAAAAAAAAACAAAACAAAAAATCACCTGGTGTACGGAGTAGAATTTTCTGATTTTATTAATTTGTTTTGTGGGGTTATTGTTATGTGGAGTCATGGCTGCATTTGCTTGCTTCTAAATGCCTTTGTGCCCTGTATTGTTGTTGCATTTAGCCACTTTTGGGTCTCTAATATGTCTGTCTTCATGTTTTGATGTGATAGAAAAGATGTTATCAGTTCCTTTTTAGGTGTAAAGAAGTGAAATTTCTTGTTTTAGCTTAAGCGGGAAACGGTTTTTGTGGATTGGGGAACTGGATCTGAGTTTCCTGGGATTCAGCTGTCATATTCACTAATCACGGAAAGTGATTGTAATAGTGAGTGAATGGTTAAGGGTTAAAATGCAAATCCAGTCAATGTTCTGCCATAGTAGTTTAAAAAGTGAACAATCTGTATATGTTAGAAATCTACACACACTACTTGGAGAAGAAACTAGGAGGTAGGAGAAGATACTTACGAGGGGGGAAGCTTTAAGTACAGTAATAAAACCGAGTCTTTTGGTGGGGGTTTGTGTACCTGTGGAATTCTTTCCTAAAGGAAATGATGTAAATCTCACAACTTGCTTAGTTAGGGGTTAAAACTTTCCCATACTAGAAGTCATTAAACTATTATTTCTTGGGAATTCAACTGGTCTGCCATGTTAGCTTATCAGTCTTACATGGTTTAATACCATGTATTTGTTAATAATAAGTGTAAAGAGTAAGCAGTAAGTTTTAAAGCATTGGTGGTTTTTTTTCCCCCAGATATATACAGGGAACATGGTTCTGCTCTCATAGAACAAGTTAATTGTGAAGCTACCATACATTTTTGTACCATATGTGCAATCTGAGTAGCAGTTACGAGAAAAGCTACTAAAGATAGAGTGTGATATGCAGTACGTGACATTTCAGAGTTGACGTTTTATCTTTGCAATGGCAAAAAACCAACCTGTAGACTTGTTATTTTGGTCTCCTTTATGAAAAATTAACTCTTTAAAACAAAATTTTAAAAAATTGTGTGACTCTGAAGAGCTTGTAAGTAAGACAGTTTCTGGGAAGATCAAAAGCTTTCTGTTTATGCGCCAGTAACATTCTGGTTTACATTCAAAACTCTTGTGAGCCATTATATTAGAAAACCTTCCTCCTGGTCTTCGTTACGGCTTTCCTGTGCAAGGCAGTTCCCTGGGGCAGTGGTATGAGAATCTCTCTATTTAATGAGACATACAGAAATCCATTTGTCCAGGAAACTTAGAAGTTTCTTAACCAAAACTGTAGAAAAACAACTTCAGTATTCTCGGTTGCTTATTTGATGAGGCTGAAGCATATTTCCTTCTCTCCACACAGACATGAGGAGCAGTAGAGATGGTATAAGGGAACACCTTCCATAATTTGCTATTAGCTGTTAGTAGGAAGATAATACACTTGCGTGCTCTATGTACTAAAATAATTGTGCTTAGTTATTGATGAAAATAACTTAAAACCAGATACAATGTTCTTGCAATTCTTTTCGTTGCCTGTATTAGGGATTACAGATGGTAGTGGGTGAAGCCTAAATACCAGACAAGTCATGCAATTATACTTTAATTGGCAACTGAAGATTCGCATGTTAATGCTCTTGTTAGACCTTCTACTTTGCAACAACTTCCTATTTACCTTCTGCTTTATAGAAAATTTTTCACCAATACGTTTTTGGTAATCAGACTTCAGAAGCAGTGGAAACTCCCTTTCAAGACACTTATACAGCTACATTTTGCGAAGGAAAGTCACTCGTGCTGATATTTGCAGTGTTCACGTCAAACATCAATACCTTTTAACATACTAATCCTCAAAATTATAGACCTCCCTCATGTCGCTATCTGTATATTGCTAAACAGGCAAACATTGAATGATTTTTGGCTCATTACTGTCCTGCTGTCAATGTTTTCTCTAGTTAAATTAGCAGTCTCCACTGTTAGAGCAGAGAAGTTTGTTAGTGCGTTACAAGGATGTTTGTATTAACTTCCATTCTTCGCATTGCTAAAACCCTTAGTTAATAGCTGAAAGCTCAGAGACAGTTCACATTCCTTCCTCTGCACATACATTTGTTTGCCGTCTGACGCGCCTTTCCGTACAGAACCGTATGGTAACCGTGTTTCTAAAATACTAAAAAAGGCTTGTTCTGAAACTGGTATTTCAGTTTTTTCCTAGTTTATTTGAAGGCATTGGTACCATTAGTATCTTTGAGTTATAGGTGCTACCTTTTGTTTGAAAATCTCCAAGCACTTTGCAAAAGTGACTAATTCTTTCTTTGGCTTGTTTTGCCAACTAAAGCTGTTGTTTTTTACACCATTCCTTCTAAGTAGCAAACATTCTGCCTTCTTTAGATAGGACTGCCTTTCTCTGCTTCGATGGTAGGCACCAGTATTGAGAAGTAAGTGTGTTATTATTCCATTATCAGATTTATTATTAGAGAAAAATTTTCATGGAATAAACTGATGTTAAAATTTGCTCCGTGGTAGGCTACACTGAGACATTTCACTTGTATATTCTTTTTGCAGACTGGGGGCTGGGCAGGTAATTTAGGGCTACATATGAAAAGTCTTCCCAATCTTAAAGGGTTTTTTTCTTTCTAGACCCTGTAAAAGGGGGATTGCAGAGCCCTGGCGTAGAGCTGTCAAACAACAATTTTGTCTTCTGTCCTATGATTTGAAAATAAGTTTGTGTTGGCAATTAGAAGTTTTTCTTCTGGTGTGTGAGACACGCGAACAGTGTGTTGACTCCCATTTCCATTTCAGAATATTGTTTTCTTTCCGCCCCTCCTTCTCTCGGTGTAGTATTGAAACTAGGTTATAATTCTGTAAAGCAGCTTTAGTTTTAATAGGTGGGCGTTGCAATGAGTTTAATGCTTTGCTTGATCGTTGTTTATTCAAATGTAGTTAATGACCTTATCGAGTAAGAAACCCCAGGATCGCAGAGGTGGCTGCCTGAACTGCTGAGTGTCTTGTGCAGTGTTAGCAGGTTGGGAGGCTTTGGAACTATGTTTGCATCTTGGTTTTGAATTCTGAATTGCTGTTTTGCTGGCTTCAGCTTCCTGGAGAAAGGGTTAGTGAATTTTTTCCTTAAAATGCTATTAGATTTATCAAAAGGTGAGTACTTTGCATGTGAACTTTTGATATCTCAAGTATCTGCCTTCTGGGAGAGGAACACGAACCAGAGAGCTGCATATATTTTGAATATGTTTTTCTCTGTGTGTGTTGAGATGAGTGTTGGGGAAGCATGAGATTTTGGAATTTTTCCGAGGGATTGGTGAAAAATAATAGGGTAAATGACAGATTTGCTATCACAGCCTGCATGTTGTATGGGTCTAAATTAAGATTTTGAAGCAAGTTTCTCCATGGATGAGGTGTGTTGGGGAAGGATGGTCACGTTATTAGTAAATAATAATGATGAGGGCTGAAAAGCCAGAACTGGGCCTTATAATTTTAAATGGGGAAGTTGGTATGATTTAATTGTTTAACTGAGAAAATACTATTTCTGGAAATTTGACAGATGTGGTAGTTACTCAGTGGCACCTAGCATCTGCTTTAATCTGCATCTAGAAGCATGATTGCATGAATTTAATAAAAATATTTTCCAGCTTAATTTTCTTAAAGAAAATCAAACATTTGCAGATGTAGTAATTTCATGAACACAAAGTTGGCGGTGTATTTGGTTGGTAAGGTAGCTAACGTGTTGTGTAGAGCAGAGAAAATTTGATATAGTTTATACATTCACTAGAAATTTGACTTAGAAGCTGTATTTTTGAAGGTTGGGTGTACTGTGCCTTTGTAACTTAAACTGGAAAATGGGTCTTTTCTTTTTTATTCTCTGTTTTACCGCAGCAAATGAGTTATCGGGTATATGTGCAAAAGTGTTAACCAAAACACTTACTGAAATTTGAAGAAAAAGTACTGTGTACAGCTGAGCACAGACTGTGTTAGCACAGCAGCTCTGCAGATGGTGTGAGTGCTACAAAGACTGTAGTGTGGACATGGGAGTTTTGTTTTTTCTCCTGGCTTGAAAGGCAGGGCTTGTTAAAACTCTGCTGTTCTGTTTTAGCACTTTTCTAAAAGACCATTGACTTTGTTAATGCCTATGAAAGACCAGTTCAGTAGAGACATACTGAAAGTAGCTGCAGAGCAGCCCACCTCGATGCTCTGCTAAGTGTCAGTCGAGAGAGTAGTAGGTGCTGACGCAGTGGCCGAGGACTTCATTCATTTATTTGGAGGAGAAGGCAAGAAGTCCATGTGCCACAGGTGTCCCAGTTTCTGCGCAGAACAGAGCAGGACAGACTTGTAGCTTTTCTTACAGTAGAAACATGTGCACTATTACGTGTAGTATACATACCTTTTTTTATAACGGTGCTACTAAGAGTTTGTAACACGTTTTGGACCGCTCGTGCTAAAGCTTGTAGTATAACTGCTTGGGGCTGAGATAGGTAATTTGAAATTATGGGCCAGCTTTGAGAGCAAATAGTATTGGTTTGTACAATAGCAAATTATTGGTATTGCCACTTAAATGTCAGCAGTGTAAAATCCCTGAGAATGGTGGAGAGAGATTTAAAAAAAAAAAAAAAGAGAGAGATAAATACATGGCAATATTAATACTCTGCCTGTAAATGAAATGTGGTAATGATCACAAATCCAAAATTGTTTAGCATAGCAAGTTCACGTTACAGAAGCGTAGACTTTTGGGAAACTTGTATTTCTGTAAATGTTTGTGGGTGGGGGGTTTTTGTTTGTTTTTGTTTTGGACAGATGATCTGTAAAGCAATCCTCTCTAGAGCCAGGTTAAAGAGCAGTTTTCCTCAGAGAGAGTTCATACCAGGAAAGTCTCCTTTGTGAGGAACAAGCTTTCCTTTTTAATGATTGCTTTGTGAGATTAATATTTTTCTTGACCTGAAGGCACACTTAACTTTCAAACCAAGCCAAGTGCAAGGCAGTAGAACAGCAGAAGGGGACACTGACCAGAAATATTCGCAGGTTTTGTAATTTATTATGAAGTTTCAGGCAAATCTCAACTTGAGCAGCCAGCTAGCTCAGAAAATGTTTTGCCTGTCCCTGTTTAAAGTGGAGTCCTGGTTCTCAGTTTCTGACAGTAGCACTGTTATCTTTCATCTGTTCACAAACAGAACTGTGAAATGAGCAAGTTAAAATGAAAAATGAACTCTGAGGAGTTCTTTCTGTTAAAAAAAAATCCAGTAGGGTTATTCTGGAGGCTGTTTCCTTTTGTCCTTGAACTTTCGAGGTTTTATAGAGACAATTTGACATCTCACCTTGAGGTTTATTACAATTCAGCAGAGTCCTGGCAATACTGTTTTAGCAAATATTTTCCAGACTGTGGGCTGCATGTTATGTTAGTGGCCGTAAGGACCGTGAAATACTCAGAAGGACTGGCGCTGCTATTAGTGTATAGAATTGTATGTTTACAGCACTTCTGGAGAACTGCACTGTCCATTCATAGGCGTGCTTAATGGTTTCTTAATGAGTATACGGCACTGAGGAGTTCTGGGTGCTTTTTTCAGATCACCTGCAAGTTTTGAGAAGGGACCTTGAAATACATGAACAGTGTGTCAGTGATAAATATTAACCACAGTTTTCAATAGAGGAAATAGATTATGTTTAATGGCGTGTGCTAGGTCCAAAATGATTAATTTCAGGTCCAGGCCGCGGAGGTCACCTGGATTCTAGTTGCTGATTCAGCTGCTTCGTACATGACTTTCTGACCGTGTGCTGGCCCAGGCCAAGCGTTTCATGTGTGGAAATCCTGACTTGCTTGGAGGCGGAAGCAAAGGCTTTGCCTTTGTGTTTCTTCCTCCCCCCTCCGTCTCCACCCTGCATCCGTACAGTTGTTGGGAAGTTTACTTCCTTGCAATTGTTAGTTCTCTCTGCATCTTTGGAATAAAGCCTTTATTCCCCAGTTGAGTCCATGGCTGGCTGAACTTCTGGAGCAATGCACGTTAAAGGTAATACACCCATTAAAGATAACTTGTTAAACACGCCCATAGTAAATTGAAATGAGCTACACTGTCATTTCAGAGCCATCTCAGCTTCAGGTGCACTTCACTTACAGCTGCTGTCCAAACCTATCAGCTTCTTCTGAAGCATACAAAAATGTTTTCAGCTCTACGTTGATACATTGCTTGGTTTTGGCAAAAATATTTAATAAGGCAGCTGGTTGTGAAGACTGTGTGTTCTCACATGCAGATTTTGAAGTTTTGCTGTGCTCAAGGATTCTTCATAGTTAAAAGTGTGTTGAAGGAAAGTGTTTTTTTTTGTCTATTTTCATCTTTGTACAAACTAAGCAATTAGTTTATTTATTACCTTCTCAAAAAATAGATGCCTGTCTCACATATTTCTATTAAGTTCAATGTCAGCATTCCAGACAGGGAGAAAACACCAGTTTCCTACGTCCTGATCAAGTTTTGTCAGATAATTTTGCACGCAGTATCAGCGATACTAAATTACTACAAGTATTTCAGCATGAGGAGAAGCCCTGTCCTGTTCACCTGGTGAATCCTGTTAAGTTTTTCACTAAGCACTGGGTTTGCTTGTGTTAGGAACTTCAGGGAGGCTTTTGTCCCTTAATCTGCTCCATCACAGGTTATCTCCTCAGAATACAGGGTATAAAGCAACACGCCTTTGTCTGCTTTGTTGCTGTTACTAATTAAATCACCCTTATGAAGACATCCTTTTCATGCAGGAAACAATATGAGCGTTACTGACTCTCAGCAATGTTGTTTTCCTTGCGCAGCAATGTTGTTTTCCTTGCGCAGCGTGTGGTTTCCCTGAAGCATTTGAGGAACAGCGGGTGAGGTCTGTGTATTTGCTCAGCAGGATTAAACAAAGAGATAGTACTGTTTGCAGACTTGGACAAGCTGAAGTGCAGCAGCTGATGGGAGTTTTCATTGGGTGAACTCGGTAGCCTGTTTGAACAGCAGAAATGAACCCTGTTCCTGGAGGGGAAGAGGTAACTCAGTGGCGTACGTAGTGCCAGGGTGGCATCATGCGTGTTGTGAGTGCATTTCAGGGGGAGGCAGGATGGGTTTTTCTGAGAAACTGGCCATCTGGTTCAGAGAAAAGTGCATTAATACCTAGTGGCAAAACCCTGGGACCTTTTTTGATCTTTCTTTTCACTAATGTGCTTAATCTTTCCTTAATCTCCGAGCTGACGTGGTCTGTCCTTTTCTAAGACAGTACATGCTGCTGCAGTCTGGCTGCTGTTTGCTGTGACTGATAAATTAGTTCATGACACTGAAAATGGTATCAAATGATAGACTGTGTCCCAGGTTCAGTGGTGTGTTGGAATAGCAGTGGTGGCAGCCAGCTAATCAAATGACAAAAACCGAGCGCTAGCAACAAGAAAAAGCAGGCTCCTGTGTATCTTTGCGGTAAGCTCAGGCATTGGGGTTAGTGTGACTTGGCAAAGGAAACAAATCTTTTCCTATCGGTGTAAAAAGCAAAGCTCCCACCAATATTGATAAAAGGCAGCAATGCAATAGAGCAAATAAAACCCGATTGTATTGACAATGGAAAAATGCTCTTCTGGCTTTTCCCTTACTCCGTTGTTGTGGAAACTCCCACCCTGCAAATGGTGATCTCTCATCACCGTAAACTTTGCAATGCATTTCTTCTGGATCAGGTCCCACAAGCTGATGACCAGAGCCGATGTGGTTAGCAGTTCATCGGCTCCCAGCTACTGATTCAAGCCTCTGTCTTTTCCTGCTGGATGGGATTGTCCCCCAACAGCTTCTCTCTGTTGACAAGAAATGTGCCCCAGGGTTGGATTACCAGTTACCCAGTCTCTTTTGATACACGTTCACGGGGTTACCACTGTTACAAACTCTTCCTGTTATTTTCAGAATGTGTAAGTAAGGCTCTATAGTCTGAGCTGTGACTCAAAGATGGTGACAGAAGAGACTTATTTTTGTAAGAGAAACTGAGAAGTTTCCTTGGAAATGAGTGGAAATAACTATAACCTGTAATGAAGGACCTGTGTGAGCCAGTTGGAGCCTGAGAACTTTTTCGTTGTTTTATATCTTGGCTAATACTATATGTAATTACTATGTATGTAGTGTTAGATGCTACAGTATATACATAGTATGTACTATGATTGCTATAGCGTTATATAGTACTATATACTGTAACCCCGTGGGGGGGTAGGAGGGGAGAGGAATGAGACTGGGACGTGCTGACAGATATAGCATCAGCGTTATGAGATAGCATAATGGAAATGTCTAATTGAAAATCTCATTTGTCATCGCTGCTTAATGATCCTGGAGGCTGGAAGAAACCCATCTTACAGTAGTATGGTGCTGTGGTGAGTCAGGAGGTCCTGCAGCACTTCACTTGCCCTTCTGCTGTAGTCCTGGTTCAGGAGGTCACACAAAGCATCAGCATGAAAAGGCTTCTGCTGAAGAAGACCTTCCAGCTTCCATTTATTTCTCTTGCATATAAATCACACAGTGTATAGCATCTTATCTTTTTTCAAGAAACAACTGTGCGTGTCATTTCTCTAGCAAGTCTGTTCTCCATTCC